AAAATACTTAGCACGTGTCTAATTCTTTGCTTTCATCTCATCACAAACTACAAGTTATAGGGATCCTTCTCCTTCCTTATCGTAAAATGTGCAGATCCTCACTGTAATGGAACCAACTTAGAGTTGTTCTAGAGAATACACAACATGCCTAATATAGTGCATAGACAGAACCCAACACAAAAAACTATTTATTACTTTTTTACTTTTTGACAAAGAAAGTAACAATAGCTAATTATTTTGAATAAATTTCGTTTTGGTAATTTGTTATGCCATTCAAGCACGATATAGAGGAACACAGCAAATGTTTGAGATGCTCCAGAAAACTGCTAGTAATTCTTACCTTTCCATAATCACCAAAAACTGCATTTTGTCCCTCACACGTACAATCTTCCTGTGGCATTACTTTCTTTAATTTTAACTTAGTATACCAAACCAATCTAGAAACACGCCAAACAAATAAATACAAGACCCCTTGTCACCCGTAACTAACGCTTAACGTCTCCCGGGCAACCAATAAAACAGATGATAGACAGCTGTTAAAGGGTGCATTTTCTTTAACCTGATATATTTGGACAAGATAAATATATATTTGATCTAAATTTAATTTAAATTCAAATTTTAGGCTCATAGGTCATACAGTAGGTTATACATGGTTATACCATAGATAAAACTATACTCATGAGATATTCAAAACACGAATATCTAATTTACCACGATACCTAAACTCTACGGTGTAATAAAATGCGTAACCCCTTGTTGAGAAATGTATACGTTCTGGGTGCACTGAACGGTAATAATTATCGTAAAAATATATTAGGGTAGACTTCCGTATCTGTTGTCAATATATATTACACATTGCACGATAACTTAATATGCTGGTCCTAAGATTTCTTGCAATGGTAATTTGGCGCATTTCAATTTTCAACTGACAGCATACCGAGATTATAATATATCTTAATAAAGTCCTAAGGCCAGAAAACAAAAACTACAGTATGTAGATCAAGATCATATGACTTTTTGCGCTTATTTGAAGTTTTTTTTTAAAATCTTCTCTATAATTTGTTTATAACACAGCGACTCTTATATTAGTCAGTGTCAAGATTGATATTTTACTACTACAGTACCAAAGTGTATTATTGATTGACCCTTCAGGAAAACAGGTAAGAACTTCTACATTCTTTTACTTTATAAAATAAAAACAAGCAAAAAGATTTGAAAAATACCTCTGCGATATTTTAAACTAACATGCCACGATAGTCCGTAAACTTGTTAATCTTATAAAATCACAAGACGTCTAATAAGTATCTTTTCAGGCCTACAGTTATGGGAATAGACGCGATGGGACAAATTATTTTTGGATTTTATGGGATTGTTCTAGGAGCCATGCTCAACGATACTTTTACTTCTTTCGTTTTGTACTATATTACTACAGCTGTTTTCTCCCATATGTTCAACCAACATGTTTTTTCCAGAACAATCAGTCAATCGTCATTTCGGTCGTTTGTTTGACGTTTACGGGATTTGTTTGTTTATTAACTGAAGTTAAAAAATAAACTGTTACCGTAATTAATTTGTCTTAATATTGTCGGTGTTGGTTGAGAATTTGTGTAATTCAATTAACAATCGAAAGAATACTATAGTTAATTTTGCTTGCCACTTAAAATGTAACAACATATTACAGATATAACTGTGTAGGTTAACTTTAGTGTAAGTCCTTCGTTTTGTTTTGTGTGTTTATTTTAAATTGCAAAAATTGCAGTGAATTCAGCAATTAAGCGTTTTTTGAGTGCCATGATCTTAGAAGACGTCGAAAATGAAGACATGATTGATGGTGGGTTAAGTTATGCAATTTGCCTTGGCTATACTAAGGCCTACCCTATATGCTCAATAATTGCCTCTCTGTCCAGTGATTCATCATAAGACATAGGAAAATATCTGTTTAGTATATGTGTACTGATTCAGTATTTTTGTTTCAACCTATGCAAACTTTGGCAACACTTTTAAATCCGATTTCATCGGATTATCGATTGTTACAACTGATATAGGCTAGAAAGTTTAGGTTTTGGTAAGTTTAAGTGTGGTTATAAATTGAATCAATAATTTTATTGTTAAGATTATAGGATGGAGTCAAATATCAAAGTGTAACCTAAACTATTACTTAACTTTTTTTCAATTTACATAGTTAAAGTAGGCTGCTCAAATAGGCTAGGCTTAGCCTTAGGCCTACCATAAGTTAATCAAAGTTGGTTTAACTTAGTCATCGGCATTGTACAAATGATTGGCCTTACCATGTCTACCCTTTTCTGTTCAACATGCTTAGGCCTAAGTTACTTTAGAAATAGTTTGCCCTATGACTTAAAAAATGTGATAAATTAAGTTTTTGTCTAGGAAAAAAATCTGGCCAAGTTTAAGATAGCCAAAACGTCAAACGACTTTGTTTAGACCAGTGGTGTCATGGCAAGTTTTGCAGTGGTGGAACGGTGCACCTGGACCAGAACTGAGGTATAGGGTGCTCCTCCCTGCACAGGCCCCCAACCCAACTTACTTAGGCCTACATGTAGCAGAATTGTTTAATTGTTAGGCCTAATGATGTGAAATGGCCCAATTTAACTTAACTTGTAGCGTTTTTACTTTTTGACACTTTCAGTGGTGATTTTTTATGCTGTCTGCTAACTTGTGTCAAAACTTACATATTAAACTTATTAGGCCTATATTGAATAAAAATAATACAGACATACACATCAGGATATTATTTTTTATAAACAAAATATTGTTTGCTTTATAGTGTACTTTAGGGAAGGATTAAAAATTATCCAAAGATAAATTACTTGCAAACACATGCTGTTAACACGTTGGGTGCTGATGACGGGAATTCCCGTCATTGCTTAACATTGAAATAAATGCAACTTTCATGTTCAAACATGTCGACAGCACTAATAGTGTAAACAAATAAAAACCATTGCTATACAAGTACTTTTAGTTTATAAAAAGACTTATTTTATATATTATAGTTCATGAAACTGTATTCTAAATACCCTAAAAAGTCTTTGATGAATCTTACTTCTCTCATTTTAAGGGCCTATGCCCCATGCCCTAGGTTTAATTTATAATGCAAGTCATTAAGCCTGCAGGAAGCCTATCATTTAAGTATTTTAACTTCCAATTAACTTACACTAATAATAACAAATTTTAAAAAATATAGGCCTAGGCCTATACAAAAATTTCTTAAATTTTTTTAAGCCAACATTTGATACAATTGCGAAAGGGCTGATTTTGGCTCACGGGATCGACATGAGTAAGAGTTAAACCACTTTTTTCAAACCTTTCCTCAATAAATTAAGCACTTGGACTTTTTTCATCTTCAGATTGTTAGGTTTGGCCCGACGTGTTTCTTGTGTCATCTGCTACATCTGCCATGTCTATAAGCGTAGAATGTCGTCCAAAACCAGTGCTGGAACGGCGTTCCGGTACGTTCTGGCACCATGACACCCCTGGTCTAGCCAGACAATGTTTAGGAGGAACACTCAGGCGTCATTCTTCAGAAGTCATTATTTTTCTCCATTAGATTTTCAACCATTAACTTAGTCTAGGATATAACAAATCACAATAGGGAACTTCTACCATTGATCATACACCACAGCCTCACTGGATCTTAATCAACGATATCACTTAACAATAAATTTTAAAAATAATCTAAAAAAAAACCCACTTATAGGCCTATGTACTTAGTTGGCCATTTAGGTTATCCCATTCCAAATTACCTAGCCTAATTTAAACTTAAAGTACCATGGAACTGAGCCTTGCTCGGTTGTAGTTAATTGGGTTTTAAATAAAAAAATATCGTGAAGAGACATTTTTATTACAAACTATCTAGACATTTGATCGCCGAAATAATATGGTAACAACTCTGTAATATACCTAATGTTTGCAATCAAACAAGACTTGGATTCACTTTTATGAACTTGCTTAATTTTAAGTGCTAACTTAATCACACAGAATATTTCTCCCCAAAATGATCAAATCGTATTACTTTAGTTTCAAAATGGCTTGCGACAACATAATTTTCACTTTTTTGCTACTGCTTCTAAAGAAATTGAGATTATGTATTTTTTTTGTATTGGGATTTAGCATACGGTAATAGTTTTATGCCAATTAAAACCCCCAGATGTAATTATTTTACTTAAAATGCCTCAGTACTTCTGGGATTAAGTTTTGGTGGGAGAGGGCCCTGAGGTAAAATAATCAGTATTTGATCACAACTATTTTCCAATATATCGAGTAATCTTCAGTGTAATCTTTGCTCAATTGCAACTGATTTGTTTCTCTTTGTCACAGTTCTGTATTTTGTAATTTGTTAAGTATACTGTGGATGGCTTGTTATAAACACATGTTACAAGTATTTTGTTTACTTTTTCCTTGTTATTTTGTTCAACCAACATATTTATTTAGCAACCCATTGGGTCAATGTTAAATTTTTTTTAATTTTCTAACAAGGTGTGTAGCGAAATACAAATTTTCCTGAGGTAGTGGCTCTTGCAAATCACGGCTATAAGTCTCTAAATCCAATTTTTTTTTTTAATCCTTCTGATGGATTTTGAAATGTATATTACAGTCAGACACACAAACAGACATAGCTCCTATTAGATTATAGGATTAAAATTTCTATAAATAATAATTGCTCAGTTATCTATCTACGTTTTAGTAAAAGATTAAATTGCTAGGTTTTCATAGACTTATTACTATCAATACAGTTTAAAATATGTACCGGTATTGCAATTGTAATATTTATTTGTTATGAACTGCTAAATGTTACAGGTGGTGGCAAACAGCCAGAAGATAGTGGAATGGAATCTGACAACGCTTCTGGTAAAGTACAATTTTAAATTAACTATTTGTAGAAAATTTAACTGTCATTGACAAATTAACTGTAATTTTTCACCCATGCAAGCCTACATCTGAGAAACATAACCTGTAATTAGGTTCAAATTAAAAAAAAGTACATGAGTACATTTTTTCTCTGCAACATCGCCAGTGTTGCATGTGTAAGTCGTCATTGCGTACGTGTTGCTAAAAACGGTATTACACTCTCTTAGTTTCCCCTGATTGCATTAGGATTTGTCAGGCTTCCCGACAGTTCCAAGGTATCACTTGTTGGCCCCTACCTACCCTAGTTGTATTGCGTTGCGTTATCCACAATTCTACTTTTTATTTTGTGTGATAGTTCTATTTGTTTGCGGTGATGTTAGTTGTTTTTTTCAAAGTTTTTTTGTAAAATTTTGGTTTGTGAGTTTTGTACCAGTGTTGCAGCTTTTGAATTGTGTAAGTATGCAAAAGTTTCAAAATTTTGTATGACTACTATTTGATCATTATTACTTAGGTGGTGATGAGTGGGGGAACATGGTGGCCCTCCCCAATATTAGAGTACTAGTACCATTGGTAAATTAGTATTGAAACCTAATGTTTATGGATTATAACAATATTCTGGATGGGTTTTACCCCCCTGTTCTAATGCTCAATCATTGCCACTGAATTTTTATTTATTCATTTCATTCCAACGGGAAATAACCAATACTTATAGGAAACATGATGCAACATGGCTACTAACAAAGGATATACAAACATATACAGAAAATACAAATACAGAAATATACAGAAATATATAAGAAATGATGATACAGAAATACAAATTAGTATATGTGTGCAAAATATTTGATATTTCAAAAAGATTTAGTATGAATGAAGGTTGTTTTAACTCTTGATTATCTCTTAGAACTAGAAAAAATAATCTTCATTGATTTTCAATTACAATATGTTTGTTTTGCTAATAAGTTAAAAGTAACCAGCTTTTTAACTACCAAGGAAAACATCTTAGTACCTATTGAATTGTATCCAGCCTATAATTAGAAAATTATAGTTTATCTTTACTCCTATAAGTACTTTTTATAGGTAACTTAAGATGCACAAAGTATACTACCGTTTATAGCCTACATTATCAATTAGAATTAGCATCCAGTGGTCAAGTATTCTTTGGTATTAAATTTTCCTGTTTTTTTACAGTGACTCTTTTTGTACATATTTGTTACCACTGTAGTTAAATATCACAATATTTCTTGCACATGTTTTGGGTAATTTAATTACTATAATTGTTTTTTAAATAATGTCCTAAGTTCAAATACTTTTTTGTAAAAAAATTGATTGCTCTGCATATTTTAAATTTTTGATACATTTTCAAATGCTCTAGCTTAATATATATCCTATAAGCTAGCTTAATATATAGTGTGGAGGACTGGGCATGTCTGACACTATACCACTGGTAGTGGCCTTTCACGAGATGATACACTCCTACTTCCATGGCACTGACGAAAAGAAGTTCCAAGTGAAGTTGTCAGGAGATATGATGCTCTCTTTTCCTGCCGGCATCGTAAATTTGCTCACCAATAATCCGAACCCAGCCCAGCTCATTTTTAAGCTCACCAACTCTTCTAGATTGACCAAAGTGTTCCCTAACAAGCAACTTATTATTTGGGATTATGATGAACCGTGCCTAGAAACCTTGCCCCCATGGACTACATTCAAATTCAACATGAGTGCCTTAACTGCTCTTTTGAAACGCCAGGCTGAAAAGAATCCTACAGCTTCCTACTTCAATGTAGACATACTTAAGTATCAAGTGAAACCGTTTATAGGGGCTGCATCTTGTCCGTTCCAACTAGTGGCTTATTGGAAGTGCGAGAAGAACCAGACAGACATCAGGGTAGATTACATGTATAACAAGAAGGCTATGGGATCACCCTCCCCTCTATTGAACCTATCAGTGTCGGTGCCTGTAGACGGGGATGTTTAGGTGTTTAACGGTTGTTGTTAAAAGTTCCATTAAGTTATGAAAAATTTGTAGTCAATATGGTTGATTTTAGTGATTATTTTTGGGGTGAGAAGAATAATGGATTTGATGTTTTGTACCATAATATGAAATTTGGCCTTGTCGCCAGCAAGGAGTTAGCTGAATTCTTCCGGGAGAGTTCAAACATAGAAGAGTACAACTCGAAAGTTTTGAGAAAGTTAGCCAAGCAGGCTGGCAGTGGATGTGTGCAAGGAACGTTTGCTCTAGTATGGCAGGCTGTTCGATCAACAGCGGAGAAGTTATCTCAACTTCACCTACAGATGGTCCACAAGATATCGGAGCTTGTCAAAGAGGTCACAAAATACGCTGATGAGCTACATAAAAAGCATAAAACCGTAAAAGAAGAAGAATGTGGAACATTAGAAGTTGCCCAGGCAATACAGTCAACGTCAGTTAAAGCAAAAGATATTTACGTTCAAAGAGGACAAGAGCTGGACAAATTGAAAAAAGATAATGCTTCTGCAAAAGAGCTAGAAAAAGCAGAATTGAAACTAAAAAAAGCACAAGAAGAGTATAAAACCCTCGTAGATAAGTATAGTTCAGTCAAGGAGGACTTTGAAAAGAAAATGTCCCTGGCATGTCAGCACTTTCAAAAAATTGAAGAAGCACATTTAAAACAAATGAAGGAGTTTCTGAACACCTACTCTGAACTTGTTGAAAATAACCATGACTTAATTGGGCGGGAATACATTGAATTCAAAAGGCAATGTGTGGAAATGACTGTTGAAAAGCTACTTGAACAGTTTGCCCTCAGAAAATACACTGGGCTGGAAAAGCTAGGTTGTATTGAGTTTGAAGAGGTGCCGGTGAGTGTAGCGGCTGCTGGGGTAGAAGAGGCTAAGCCCTCCACGGCCCCTGGAGTCAAGCGAGAAGGTAATGCAAGTCAGTGGTCTGGAGGTAAACAGTCCCGCCGGACCACCTCCCTCCTCAACCTCTTCATGTCCAACTCCCACGGCAGCGGAGGGGTGGGGACCAAAGACGGCGGGGGGGCACCAACTTCAGCCCCCACTAGCCCCACTACCTCTGCCAACGGTCCCCCATCTGCCATCTCTACCAACTTACTTGCCAGAAACCCCCTGCGAGGATCAAAATGGTTTTTAAGGAGTAGGAGAGATAAGCGCAAGGAAAAGAAAGCTAAGAAGAAGAAAGATGGGAGTCAAGACAGTACGAGCTGTAAAGATGAAAAGTCAGATGTAGAAGAGAAAGAGGACACACATAAGTCTAAAACTCCGACACCAGAAGTTGATGATGAAGGTTACTGTATTCGACCCAAGTTGGACCCGTGGGATCATGATAAAGGCAGCTTTTACTCTAGCTCTGATACAGATTCTGAGGATGAACGAGAACAGAAGATTCACGTGGAGATAAAACCTCTCGGCAATGGAACAGGACCCATCAGTGTGAGTGTGGACGAGCTTAGAGCCACTGTTGAAAACATCCCCCTCTCCCCACTTGGAACTATTCCTGGAAGGCGAGGTTCTAATGCTGAAGATCACACAATGAAGAGATCTCAGTCTGTGTCGCAGCAAATTGGAGGGGGAAAGCTGAACAATGACCTGGTAGGACTGACACTGTTCCAAAGTCCAATAGGATAAAGTGCCTCAACCCCCACCACCAGTCATCCCTATGCTCCGTTGCAGAGTCCTACGCTAACTTCGGCCTCTAGTCCTGCACCTGTTACCACCAGTAGATACTCAGATTTGCAAGATTTATTCCAAGAAGTAGGTGTTATTCAGCCTGCAGGTGTAGGGGTTGAGAGGACACAGAGACAGACTCCTACCCCTACCTCGGGTATTGCCATTCCGAGGCCTCCATCCCGTCGAGACGACATTACTTCTAGTGGCACACTGAGTCGCAACAATGCAGGTAGGAACAGTCCAGCACTGAGGAGCAGCCCAGGCCCCAGCAACATCGCGCGTGCAGACAGTGTGAGCAGTCTAGAGTTCCGTGCAGCAGGAGTGCCCGTGGGTCTGTCCCGCGGGCCGTCCCCTCTTACACTGGGGCACTAAAGATTATTTTTCGGGGACGAAAAATTTTCCCGAGCAGGGGAGTGTAAACATATTTATAATTTTAATTAAATTCATAAATTTCATTCACGCTCATATTTTTTTAAAATTCGTATTAGGCCCATTTAAAACATTTATATAAATCCAAAGTAAATCAAATATTACAATTTTCTAATACAATGAGACATGTAGAATGGCACCGACGAGTCTACAAGTGTCATATTCAAGGTCCCGGGCAATGTACGCACAACCTGACGTCTACAGTGAATCGAAGTGGCAGCCAATCACAGCATTGAGCACCAAAGGGATCAACTATGATTGGACACTGTAGGCGGGGTTAATGAGAATGATGGGACATCTGGAAAAAGGAAGGGACATGAGGAGCAAGATGTCGGGAGTCTGGAAGAAGATTTGCGAGGCTTAGGACGGGGTCGGATCGAGCAGGCCCCAATTTATATCAGGATTGGTAAAATCTGCCACCTGAATACGTCCTAGGCCAAACTACTTCACCAACTCAGCCCACGCCGAGAGAAGAGGTTCAAGGGGGTCTCATCCGACATCGAGGACCAGGATCAATTACCGAGTCATCCGACAACGGAGACAAGGGGAGGCCTGGACATCACGAGACGTCACCTCGGAGGAATCTTCTACCCTCAAGATCATCTCATCGGTATGTTCCAAAATTCAATTATAACTTCCAGGACCAAAATTTAGAAGAGAGAAGATAAAATTAATTCATATAAAAAGGGCCTAAGTTAAATAATTACAAATAAATCAAATTCAACCTAAATATTTAAAACCTAAATCATCATTGAATCAAATCATAAATAATAATAAAAATATCATTTCCTGCTAAATAACAACAACAAGAATTTAGCCTTAAAGGTTAAACCTATAAAATAATGTATTTTAAATAAGTTAGTTCTCATTTTATATATTATTTTCAAACGTGTATTTTTGGTAGGCTGCTAAGTAAATATTCTTTGTTTGTAAAGTGTGTTAATTTGCAGAACTTCATATTAGCATTGTGTTTTAAGTTTGGGGAAACGGGACTTTGGCCAAATGGCAAAGATGTAGATTAATAACATTTTATGAATATCTATATTTTTATGTAAAAGGGTTTAATTAATTATGATTGAGTCGTTTAAGAATTATATTATATCTATCACTTTCAAACTTAATATGTGTTTAATTCTCTTTTAATACTGGGGCCCCAAAAATATTTAACTCCTTTGGTTAATACGTAATTTGGCTTATTTATAAATATAAATATATTATTGTGTTTTAAAGGGTTACATACATTAGACTAAATAATGAAATAAAATTTAAGTAACTCATACAATGGTGTAAGTTCAATCAGTTCCTGAGTATTCTTACATATGCCAAGCGAGTATACTGAGCTTAGTAGCAATTTCATATTTTCACATTTAAAGTCAATTAAAACCCCACAACTTTACATCAAGTACAAAAATTTCAAATTAAGTAATCTTTTCTTCTTCAGTTTTGAAATGGTTTTCATTGTTAACTGGTATAAGTAGCTGAAGGCAATTTTGTATCTAGTTTTATGGTTTAAAAAATCACATACCGTACATACTGTAATATCCTTCTCAGTTCTGATTATTTCATGGTTGGACGTTGTCTAGTCCTCTCAATCTTCCCATATCTCTTCACAGTTCCTTTTCCTCTAGCATCTGGCATCTCACTTCCTTAGATTCTCCTTCTCTCAGATTCCTCTTCATCCGTTCACCTTCTTCTTGGGTTTCCTCTCCATTGATTGGCTGAGTCCAATTTCATAAAAATTCTCTCTTCTCACTTTTTAAAACTATCCTAGTCTTGCATTTTATACACCCTATTTTACAGTAAAAATACTACTTTTATGCTATAGTTAAATATCCATAAATATTTGGAAATAATTTTCTTTTGGGTTAAGCACAAATCCAAAAACCTTTGGAAATAATCTGCTTTTGGGTTAAGCACTGCTAATTGCATAGCCTTAAACATTTAACCAACCACTCACAAAATTATTTAATTTAGGCTACTTACAAAATTTGTCAAATTCGATGATAAAAACTTCCGCCCATTATGCGCCGAATTGCCTTGAATCACTATCAATAATCCGTCTGATTTGAAGGTAGTGAGTCAGGTACGGATTGGATACCTTGTTATCAGCTGAGCCTTATCACTGTTATCGCTAACACCTCAACTTGTGGTCGCCATTGTTGAAAGGAAGTTAGAAACATGATTAGTGTTTGCCATTTGTATCGGTTAGGCCTAAATGTTTTCAGTCAGTCGATGTCTGTTGAATCATATCGTTCAGTATTTCCATGGGCATCAAGGTAATTTTTTTTTATTTGTTAACAATTCAAGGTTGAGTATTTTAATGTGTTCCACTTCTGAAAACTCGTGAATACATATTGTGTAAATATTTTTAAAACTAAAAGGAACTCAATTAGGCCTAGTACATTTAAAAAAATGTTTTGACACTTCTTTATATTAAATTTTGAAAATTGTTTGACTCATTTTATAGTTAAGAACTAAAAAAATTTCTAATTTTTTTTAGAAGCTGTGAATTTACTGTTTTTGTACCACAAATGGTCTCAGCAAAGGTTATAAAAACACATCACAAATTATCATGATTTAGTGTTTCTATTTTCTTCGTCATACTTTTCAAAGAAAAGTTTTAAATGGTCTTACATTTTGTTCGAGAAAAAACTGGTCTAGGCCTAATATTTAAAATACAAATAGTTTGATTATTTATTCTGAAAAGTGTAGATGTAAGTTTTTGTCACTTCTGTACATTTAATTAGTAGACTAATTAGTTAAAACAATTTCTATAATTTTTTTGGGACGTTTAATTACAGCACTAGTCAAATTCTGAAGCAATGTTTGTTGGCTTTTTAAAAATTACAAAAAACCTATGTTTATTGAACTTAAATATAAACACTATTGAAAACCTTTAACCCTTTCAGTGCTATGAAACGATATATCGTTGTTTTAAAAAAACTCTAAGGGATATAGAGAGGAAGGTTATTTAAAAAAAAATAGCAAAACGGCCATTGGTGACCTGCATGTTCATAGGATACACTACCAACCACTTAGCTAAAAGATTCGCCCAATCCGATGATTTCGAGGTGTATGTCTAAACCAAGGATTATGAACACCTCACTATGCCCCAGTGGTTGTAGTATATCGCTACAAACACACAGGTCACCAATTAGGCCTATTTGCCACACAGGACGGGATTCGAACCCGAGCAGACGAATGCCACTGGCCAAGTGACACACGTCCTAGCCTTCTCGGCTATCTGTGCTTGAAGGCTGGGGAGTCAAAACCCGGTATTTAAGCTGTCGCCACCGATTGCGAACAGATGGCGCTGCAGATGGTTGTTCAATGCGTTACTAGGTAGCAGCACCAGCTAGTCACGGACTATTTAGATGCAATTTTTTAGTTTTAGTAGTAATAAATGTGTTCCTGAGACTTTGCTGCAAAACATTAGTTTCCCTAAAATTGCTATATTTCAATAACCTCGTCCAACTAAATCAGGGTTAAATTCAATATTACATTGTAAACTATATGTATTTTGATTTTGTAAGATTTCGGTTTCAAATAATGCTATCAGAACATAAAAATTTATAGGAAAACCAGGAAAATTACAACAAAACTAAGTTTTATTTGATGTTTACTACAAATACCGGGATTTATCTTTCTTATATATTTTCTTATTGTATACAAAATTAGCCTAATTAATAAAATAGTGACAACATGACAGTTAAAATTCAACAACGAACGGGTAATGGAATTAAAAGGCAAACAAAAAAGTCTTACAAAATATGAATTATTGGCCTAGCACTGAAAGGGTTAATGAAAATTATGCATAATTTAAATATTAAGATATTTAAATATATTAACATTAATTTTAAGTTGTCAATATCCATTTTGATACCAAGTAACACTGCAATGCACTGGTAGGACACGTGTCACAGTGAAGAGCCAATGGGAATTGGGCTTTGCATATGGGTTTTAAATGCTGTTAAAAATATGGTTTGGATTAGAGTTAAATTTTTCATTTAGGTTCATGCTTCCATTAGTTTTGTTTTCTTCAAGCCGTGATTTGTAAATCTTAAATTCAAAATAATTAAATTAATTTAGAGTGTTACCTCTGCTTCCCTTGTTGTAAATGTGTAGGATTTCAAGGCTGTCACCTGTGTCATTCATGGTGTGTTATTTATCAACCAATGTGCTGAGTAAACAATGACTTTTGCCTCACATTACGAGGATCTGGTCTGTGCAACTTGTAAGTAGTCCTGAACGTTTTTAATTTTTAAGGACTGTTGTTTTGCCTGAAACAGTTTTTTCGTCAACAAACTCTTGATATGTTTTGGTCCTGTTGAGTTTTCCAGTACTAACATGTTCTATCTTGTTTTCCCCAGAGAGTGCTGGGGAGGGGGGAGGTGGAGGACAGGAGGAGACAGACAACGTAGCCGGCGGACGAGATGATGACCAGAGCCGACCTGAAAGTCGCACAGATACTATTACTTCCGCTACTCCAGGTGAGGTTATGTTAGGTTAGGTGAGGTTAGGTTAGAATAGGTTTTGACCAAACCTTTTTTAAATGAAAATATGTTTGTAATGGTCTCTTTTAACCTTGTATTTTTTTGTCCACAGGACTCTCAAAGACCTGTGCGTATAATGTATTAAACAAAGGAAGGGTTAGTGCTACACTACCATAGTTGGATGTGTTGTCTAGCCTAGTAGTGAACGTCTCAGACTTGATTTACAGACTTACTCAGACTTCATTTACAAAACTTAAATAGGTTTGGACCTATTTCCCTTAAAAGCGTTAAACTAATACTTACTTAGTCTCAATAAAAAATGCCACTGGCAAAAAAAAAAAAAATTGTAAACTGTAGTGCCATGTTTTTATATGGTTTTGAAGTCATATGGGCTACTAACTGAGCCGCTCACCAACTCACCATTTCCTTGTAGACCATATTCCATCAGATCAACAACATTTCATGTTAACCCTTTGCGGTCGAATGGCGAGTATAGATCGCCGCCCGCCATTTTCCCGACTGCTCGAAAATGGCGACCTATACTAAAAAAAATCCAAAAATCCCAAAAATATTATTTTTGCAGTTGAATGGCAGGTATAGGTCACTGGGCGCCATTTTTCCGACTGCTCAAAAATGGCTACCTATACTAAAAAAAATCCAAAAATCCCCAAAAATTATTTTTGCAGTTGAATGGCAGGTATAGGTCACTGGGCGCCAATTTCCCGACTGCTCTAATGGCAAACTATACTCGGTGAAAAATGGGGAAAAAATTCAACCTCAAAGGGTTAAGTTTATCAATACCAAGACTCGTTCATTTTGTGTTCATCTGTTGTTGATCATTGAGCTTTCAATATACGGTCCTGGCGAAACCTGCCGATCTTAGTCAGTAACAAATCTATCATAATCATTCAGACCCTTCACGTTAGTCGCATCCTGATGTGTTGTCATTGTATAAATTGAATTTAATCTACATATTCGTTCATAACATTTTACTGGACATTTGCACACTGCACCTTCGGTATTAATTTAGAAAATTACTGAAGTAGATTTCTATGATAGTCTTACAGTATTGGGGGAAAATCGAGCTGGTCTATTAATTGGTAGGTGTGAGTCCTATGTCCCTGAGGTCCCTTGAGGAAGGACATAAAGCGTATATTAGCGCAGACGATTCTAAACAATCAACTCTTTCCACACAGAGAGTGAGCGTCGCAGTGTGAGTATAGCCACGATGTTGCCGTGGGGAGCGCACAAGGAGAGATCTCCGCAGTTAACCTCTCTCAACATGGACATGGACATAAGGCCGGGGGAGTTTGTAATGCGCACACTGTTTGCAGACTTCACACTACAAGCGGAGAAGAAAATAGAGACTGTACTGTCTGAGCATGTGAGTTGCGCATGTTTTTAGATTTTTTGGTAAAGTCGGTTAGGGAAAAATTGAATTTTTCTGTTTAGACGACGCCTTGTCTGTGATTTTTTGTCAAATTAAGTGTCTTCGAAGAGGTCATAAGGCGCTTGGTAGTTGAATGCAATAATAAACAAAAGAATTATAAAATTTGATTTTGATCAAATGAGATGATGACAATCATTTTTTGTTTAAATTTAATGCTTCCACACAGGATATAGGGTGAAGTTTTTTTTTTTCAAGCATTAGTAGATAAGAAAAAAATATTATTTTTCTCTGTTTAGGAGATGTAATGATTATCATGCTTATCAAAATTTAGGTACCGGTAAGGGTATAAGATTCCATACAGTTTAATTACATAGAAAAATAAAGAAGGTCAATAAACTTAATCTCCTCATATATCGCTGTCACCATTTTTTAAACTCTTTTCTTCCAATTTCCTCTTTAATTGTTGTGAAATTTCCTTAATGTTAATGCTATAAAATCTGGCCCCAAGTTAATTTTTAGTACTCTTGTATTGCTCATTTGTATTGTCTCTTGTCCGTCTATATGTCTCTATTTGTCTCTTATTGGAGCACTTGTATTGTCATTTTGAACTATTTGTCCACTCTCTGTTTTATAGTTAGTTTTGTAACACTCCTCATATATTTTCCTCAGGAGAAGCCACTGTCCAAAGTGCTGCAGCGAGGGGAGGACCCAGTGTTTGATCAGCTGTTGTCTGCATTTGGTTGTGTCGCTGAACATTGTCTACCGTCCATGCTCAAAGCTCTGTTTGCATGGTACGAGAGACAACTGGGAGATTTGGGCACCATCGAGGCAAAAAAGGTGGAGCAGAAAGGGAAAAGGTAATTTTTTGTGGGTGTTTTGTTGTTGATTGTGAGTTGCTTGAGCATTTATTGGTCCACAGTTTACAGGAAAACATTGGAATTTTGAAGAAATCTTTACTCTTTTGCTCTACTCAATTGCTAGAAGGTTTAAATAAATTAATTTTAAAGATGGAGAGTAGATACTCCAATAAAACCCGACGATTTTATGCCTGATGATGATTATTAAATCGTATAAACCTGTAGTAATATTTAAATTTTGAGTGTTTGAATTACCAAGAGTAGACTGTAGGATGAACCTGAATGGAATGCAAACTAGAGACAGGAATTCATTAAAAAACCCTCTTTGTTTTCCTCGATGATTGTGGTGATGGCATACCATGACAAAACTGGTCGTAAATGCTGACCTAGTCCAGTATTTACAGATTTTTTCCTCCAGAAAACCTAAAATCGGGTTCTTACACAAATTTGACAATGTTTTGTTATGTTACAGCGGAGACACAGCTGAGCGTAGTGAGATCGAAGCGCTACAGGAGAGACGAGCCTTGGCTGTAGAGTTCATCTTTTGTCTGGTGCTGATAGACGTGTTGAAGCAACTACAGTTCCACCCTGGTCATGAGGATCTGGTGTCGGACATCGAGGACGTAGCGTTCAAACACTTCAAGTACAAAGAGGGGTTGGTACAATGTTTTGTTGATATACACAAAACCAGATGTGGGAATATGCTAACTGCATAGATGTTCTAAAAAAGGAGGATCTAAAAAAAGCTAGACGTGCAAAAACTATTTTGTATCAAGGGCTATTACCGTAGGTGACAAGGAAAGGCCTAGACCCGGGTGTTAAGAAAGATATAATTTTGTTCAATATTTCTATTGTAGTCAGAATGCGCACAATATCACAGACAATGCCACTAATGAAATTTAGTCAATGACACCATCTAGAATATATTAAAACACAATAAATGAGCTTGTCATCTTCATAAAGCAAAACAAAATCGTAACTTGAATCCATTTTTAAACAATTTAAACACAAGACTATAAATTAAAATAAGTAGGCTTACTGAAAACAAAACATTTTTTCAGAAATAAATAAATACTATTCCTTGAGCAAAATAGCAGGGTGTCCACATTCTGGAAAGTCAGGGATAGTCATGGAAAGTCATGGAAAAAAAATTTGGTCATGGAAAGTCAGGGAAATAGGCAAGCAGTCATGGAAAGTCATGGAAATTTCCAATTATGGATGGATTTGAGGGGACCATTCAATGCTCTAGTCAGCTGTAACCCGGACTGTTGAAGCATTTTTCAGGATTTTTCAAAAATGTTCGACAATTCAATTTATTACAGTTGTATTATTTTATGAGTTTTCGGTTTGTTTTAGTTTATTGTTGTACCTATTGTACTCCATTGTTATCTGTTATTACATATTTCAGTATTTTCTGCAAAATAACATGTCCAGGCAGTATTATATTTGTGTGTAAGTTATATTATAATTTGTGTGTAAAGTTCGTGAGTCATGGAAATCAATGGTAAATGGTCATGGATAGTCATGGAATGTCATGGAAATTAATGAAAATTTTTTTGTGGACACCCTGAATAGCTATTGGGGTTTAAAACTAATAACTGACTTTCCCTAATACAACAATTCTACCAAACAAGTTTTTATCTCACCATTGCTTTTGCTATCACCTTTGTCACCGCTGTAAATGTTTGAAACAGTTGAGTTGTAACATCAAAACATAATAAGAAGTGTTCACAGATCAAGCCATGGAAGCTTGAAAAATTACAGTCATATCTGGCGATTAAATGCTTATGTTATTCAACTCGGGCACAGATTAATCCAAACAACTTGCTAAAATTTAGTTTCTTATCTGTCCACAGTGTCCAGAACAGCACCAACGCCAGTAATGTTCACACAGTGGCAGATCTGTACGCCGAGGTGATCGGAGTCTTGGCCCACTCGCGCTTCCTCTCCGTCCGCAAGAGGTTCATGTCCGAGTTGAAGGATCTTAGAGCGAGAGAGCCGAGTTCAAACACTACCCAGAGCATCATCTCGCTGCTGATGGGGATGAAGTTTTTCCGCATAAAGGTAGGCCTACGTTGTCTCGTAACTTGTTGCGGAAATTGAATAAAGTGCTTAATTCTGTTGTGCTAGGATTTTGATCTAGGTTATTTTAAATGTTTTCCTGTCGAGTGCCAAAAAAAAAATTTTTGACGTTTTGCCCTAATGTTTTAGTCAAGTGAAAAATATTTAGTCCTACTTGTTATTCAAATCAATGGGTATGATAATTAAATAATTCTGGTCCTGTATACTGAGGTAATGCTTCAAACAGTGTTAATCTATGGCTAGTGTAGGGCTAAATAATTTGTTATACCGTATTGTTATGCTGTTACTACTAGTCAATAGTGAATAAATCAATTTATTTCTGTTGATTGGAGGTCTACCAATATATCTTCGTATAACTTTGCAGCCTGTTTCACAGAAGGCTGACAGCATTTTTTTTTTTGTCAGCAGAAAATCTCAGTTATGTATGTACCCAATAGTTACTATGTACTACCTCAATATTTAGAATGTAATTATGATTTTGTTGCAGATGGTCCCTATCGAAGAGTTCGAAGCTTCGTTTCAGTTTATGCAAGAATGCGCACAGTATTTCCTTGAAGTTAAAGACAAAGACATCAAACATGCCCTTGCTGGATTGTTCGTAGAGATTCTTGTTCCAGTTGCAGCGGTTAGTAACACATTCTAGTACAAATTTAATACTGTACATAGGACAAGCCGAGTTGTTTTTAATTGTAAAACAATAAAACCAAAATTAGAGGTCATTAAGTTGTGTCAGATTTTAAATTTAACCTTTTCAGCATCACTATTAAGGCCTTTCATAGAATGTTAATTATGAAAAACAGTCTCAGTAAACCATTTCTTAGAAAGCATTTTTTTAAGAATTTTCGTTTGGGTAGCAGGTTTACTTGAATAAGTACTTGAGTCCACCTTGGCACAAGAAACACAAACTACTTTACAATATACAAAAATTAGACCATTTTCATTGTCACTGTTAAATATTATTTTCAACCAAGGGAAGTTTTGAGTAAGAAAGAAAAATTTCCTAATTTAAATAATTGGGTATAGTGTAACTCTTTTGTCCATGGTCCAAAATTATCCTTGATCAGGTAAGCATGTCATCCAAACAATAACCCCTGAAATATATCTTAATTAACCGATTTTTAAAAGTTTCTGTGTTGTCTTGTGCCAGGGGTAACTTTTTCCCATAGGTAAGTTTTCAAAGAAAACTCCTTAACACCCTAGAGCTTGTGTTCTGTGTAAATCCTTATTTCCTAAAAGTAAGTATTTAACAATTTCATTCCCTTTGCAGACAGTGAAAAATGAAGTGAATGTCCCGTGTCTCAAGAACTTCGTAGAGTCGCTGTATTCCCAAACCCTAGACATGTGCACCAAGTCCAAACATCGTCTGGCGCTGTTTCCTCTGGTCACATGTCTACTGTGTGTATCACAGAAGACGTTCTTTCTGCAGAACTGGCACTATTTCCTGGCCATGTGCCTGTCACACCTGAAAAACAGGGATCCAAAAATGTGCCGAGTGGCTTTAGGTAAGTGGCAAATTTTTGGTGGTTGGGATGGAGCTACCAGTTGCTTTGTCTTTTGTCCATTTGTAGTACCCTCAACTCAGTCTATGAATTTTACAGGCTATACAGCTGTAGAAAATATTTTTTTTTTAATTTTCATCTGGATTTGGAGTTATTCAAGTTATTGTGTGATGAGAAAGTTTGGAAAGTATGATTTTCATAGGTTAGAAATAGTTTTCATGTTGAAAAAAGTTGGGGATACGTATTGAATGTATTCAGTAAAGCCAGGACTAACCCGTTACAGCAAAAAAGTGAAATACAAAAATCTGTGACGTTACCAGCACACAACACCATAACATTGCGGCCTTAGATTCATAGCCTGTAGCGATATCAACTCACACTTAGGACTGTCAAGTCATAAAGTTCTATCTTTGACTGTTAATAAAACTAGATATTCCATCCCCATGGTAAATTTGTAGCCAGTTTTCCAAAATCGTAGTAATTGGTGTGAGCCACCGACAGATTGCGCTGATTCAAGATAATGGAAAGACTTATTTTGAGCTATAGCAAATGTTATGACCCATAAACTTGGTCAGCAACGATAAAAAAAATTGGTAGAAAATAGAGTTTTAGTCACTAGTGCCTTTTGTGACTGGCTCACACAACTACGTTCTTTTTTTAACAAAAAATTGGCTACAGCTGGTCCATATAGATACTTCAGTATCGAATAGTCAATGGTACTATTAAAGGTAATTCAAGCAACAAAAGTTTGTAATTATTCCTCTTTTCCACAGAGGCCCTGTACAGACTGCTGTGGGTGTACATGATCCGTATCAAATGTGAGAGCAACTCCGCTACCCAGTCCCGGCTGCAGAGTATAGTCAATAGTTTGTTCCCCAAGGGCTCCAAGGCCGTCGTACCTCGAGACACTCCGCTCAACATATTCGTCAAGATTATACAGTTTATCGCACAAGTAAGTCAAAGTTTACTAGTTGTATAAGGTGTTACAATAGATATTGTGAATTTTATTGGATTGGGGTGACAGAAGCTTATTATCAGTTAGATTAGATAAAATCCATTTGAGATTGGCGAAATTTGAACCTTGGACCTCACGGACCAAAGTCCTGTGTTTTGCCACTAGACGAGCTCACTCCCCTGTGTCTCAAAATACTAGGAATAATCATTGTTTACTGGGATAGTAGTTTTCTAAAGACAACAGATGGTTTTTTTTTTAAATAAACAAGATAGATTTCACCACATTGTAGAAAGCTCTCCACCTAATTAACCTGTAAGTAGCTTTTATCAGTACAAAAGTTCTCAGTAAAAAGTTGAGTAATTTCTTACACAATAACGGCATCAACACAAAAAGGTGAAAGTGACATTTTTTTGTGTCACGTTTCAGGAGAGACTAGACTTTGCCATGAGAGAGATAGTGTTTGACCTGTTGTCCGTGGGGCGACCGATCAAGATGATCTTGACACCAGAACGCATGTCCATTGGTCTGAGGGCGTTCCTTGTAGTGGCCGACAGTCTGCAACAGAAGGAGGGCGAGCCTCCCATGCCTCGCACATCAGGCGTTCTACCCTCAGGGAACACACTGCGCGTCAAGAAGACGTTCCTCAACAAGGTACTGTTTTGTATTAATATCTTGCTCGATGACTGCTGAAATATTTCAGTTTGATTCGTCTGCATCAGGGGTGCATTTTAAAATGTCTGATATTTTACTTCAACCTGGACCAAAATATAGTAGGGTGTTTTAAAAGGTGATTCCTAAAAAACTTGATCTTTTATTGGACGATGACCAGGTGTAGCTTCCCATTAAAAGTCAGAATAGTTTTGTTTACCAAACCTTCATCAATTGATGAGCATGTATTTTGTCAATGAAAAATCAAAACCTAACACTGTTGGCAGTTCCTGATAATATATTTTGGAAAATAATACTGGGAAATTGTTAAATATTCTACATCAATTGTGATACACATTCTGTCCCGCCAGATGCTGACGGAGGACACAGCACGTAGTATTGGCATGTCAGCGTACTTCCCTCACGTCAGACGAGTGTTTGTGGATATTCTGAGAGCTCTTGACGTCCACTACGGCCGTCCACTCATGATGACTAGCACACAGAATGTGAACAAGGTAAGGTGTAGAACTTTATGTGTGGTTGGAGTCGTAGTGAGAGAATGGTGAACATTATATTGAATATCATCGTTTCATTGAACATAACTAATTTAAAGTAAGATCAGAACTCTTAAAAAAAATATTTAGTGTCAAAACTTTTAAATAAATCCAGGATTTAGGTTAAAAATAAATAATTTGAGGTTATATCTTCTAGGTTAAAAGTATAAATTTTAGAATTCCGACCATTTAAATATTTGAAGCCAGTTCTTTTAAACACTACTACTAGTAACACTAGAGATTGTTGTTGGTCGCTAAATCGTGCTTTCTTGTTTATAGATATCTCACAGCTTGAAATGTGTTTTTAATTGATTAGAGTGAGAAGAGTTTTATTTTTTTATCTCTTATTTTTCTAAGAAACAACTACCTATGTTATCTATCCCCAAACCAGAATAACGAGCGACGCTGCGACATTGTCGCGGACACGAAACGCCGAGAAACGTGGGCCTGCGGACACATTTACGGAGTCATAACGACGATCGCGCCGTGGCCGCGATTATTGGACTGACGATCGCACCGTGACCGCGAGTCATAACGACGATCGGGCAGTCATGCCGTGACCGCGGAGTCATAACGACGATCGCGCCGTGACCGCGAAGTCCTACCGAAGATCGCGCCGTGACCGCAAAGTCCTACCGACGATCGCGCCGTGACCGCGAAGTCCTACCGACGATCGCGCCGTGACCGCGAAGTCCTACCGACGATCACGCTGTGACCTCGAGTCATACCGACGATCACGCCGTGACCGCGAGTCATACCGACGATTGCGCCGTGACCGCGAGTCATGACGACGATCGCACCGTGACCGTGGAGTCATACCGACGATAACCCCGTGACCGCGGAGTCCTACCGACGATCGCGCTGTGACCGCAGAGTCCTACCGACGATCGCGCCGTGACCGCGGAGTCATACTGACGATCATGCCGTGATGGCGGAGTCATGCTGACGATCGAGCCGTGGCCGCAAGTCATACCGACGATCGAGCCGTGACCGCGAGTCATACCGACGATCGCACCGTGACCGCGAGTCATGACGACGATCGCACCGTGACCGTGGAGTCATACCGACGATAACCCCGTGACCGCGGAGTCATACCGACGATCGCGCCGAGACCACGAGTCATGACGACGATCGCGCCGTGACCGTGAGTTCTACAGACGATCACCCCGTGACCCGCGAGTCACAAGTTTCTATAGGTACCTGTAAATTGTTACCCATTTTTTGGTTTTTATAGATCAGTGCCACAAATGGGAAAAATTGATTTTGTATGTCTTTTTTGGTAACTGCAATACAGTACTTTTTTTAAGCACAGAAAAAAATCCTGTCCCATCCCGTCCCGAAAATTGGGAAGGAAATAAAAATCCCGTCCCGTCCCGTCCCGAACTAAAATTTCAATCCCGTCCATCCCTAGTGTGTTTATATAAAGAAACTATAGTACATTTAAAGTTTTACTTCTGAAGACCTTGTTAACACTTGTTAAGGTATGTGTATATATATACGTATTTAAAAAAAAGTAAATTTAAATAACCTGATTATGCCTACCCCTTAATAGTTTTTTAGTTTTTTGTTTTAAAAGTAGGCTATACAAGTTATTGAAATTTACTTATTTTATTTAACTATATTACTAGTAGCCCTAAAGAGTGAATATATATATATATATATATATATATACCGGTATATAAGTCATTATTTAGCTTTTTAGTTTTAGCGCTTGCGGACACATTTTGAGGTTTACACAGGCCGTTGCAGACACGTAGGAACCATTCTGCTTTGGGGTTATCTATTTCACCAGCTTTGCCGGAAATGTAAACTGTACTATGACAACAAAGCAATATTTTAAAAAACATATTAAAAAGACTTAAATTAGTTTATGGCGGAGGACATTGATGGATTTCTAATTACAGAAACTGGGGCCTATAAGAATGAGAAATTTTACCAGGAAATGTGTTAAACCATTTACTTTGTGATGTATCATAATCATACATTATCGGACTCGTGTTCAAAGATTCAAAGATTTCTTTGGTCATTCAGTTTTCACAATAGGCTACATCATACAAGTACAATATAAACTAAAACTAATCTATATATAAAGCCAAAAGTACCCATGAACTTTTGAGAAAACTACAAGTCACACCCCCATAAACCATATACTTAAAATGTTCGTCAGAAAAACCTTGCGCAAAATTATCCATTATTTCATAAGTTGCCCTATAAGGTCGTAATTGCTTTCCAAAGGGAACTTTCCATTTACCTAATGTTAAAAATACCTCAGCTGTTATTATTTGTTTGTATTACCATTACTGTATTCTGTTTTGTTTATTTCATCTTAACTTAACCAATCAATAGTTTTATTAATACTAATGTAGTAAAACAGGGTGGAGCCCGTGGGTAACAGCTAGTATGTATAACAAACCAAAACAATACTTCAAGTCCAAACAGCAAGCCATGCAAAGATAAAATAAAAGCATACCTTTTTGTAGAGTAGTGGAATAACGACAACAGTTACTTTTGGTACACAACCAATCATAGGTTGTGTAGTTTCCAGTTTGGACTGCTAGAGGTTGACTGGGGCTGAGGAGATAGGTGGCGATATGATGTAGATAAAGAGAGGATCAGGTGATGTTGGGTAGTCTAAGCTTGGACTGTAGCCTATCAAGGTATGGGCAAACTATCAGAACCTAACACATTGAAATAAAACAGTTATTTTCTGTGAGTACCAAAAGTATTTTTACGATTCTCACTGTTCCCAGGAGCCAGACGAGATGATCACTGGGGAGCGCAAGCCGCGCATCGACCTGTTCCGCACATGCGTGGCCGCTGTGCCTAGACTGATCCCCGAGGGCATCACTGGCGCAGAGCTGGTGGACCTGTTGGCTAGACTGACGGTTCACATGGACGAGGAGTTACGAGGTCTGGCCTACCAGAGTCTGCAAACGCTGGTCATCGACTTCCCTGACTGGCGGCAAGACGTCATACTGGGTGAGCAGAAGAGGTTTTACGTAGGAAGTGGAGTAATCAAATTCAACCTTAGAGTAATTAACCCAAACTAACCTAACACAACAGGTTCAACCACAACAACAACCAACACTGCCAACACAACAACAACAACCTTGCTACAATTGAACAATTTCAACCTTGCTAACAGCTTTTTGATGTCCGCATCTCTTCAGGCAAATCCACTAATAGCTTTAGAGACTTTGTAGGTTTACCTCCATCAGTAGTCCAAAATTGTGTCTTATTTGAACTAATGTTGTTCAAAGCTGACATGTTTCGTTGCACCGCAACAACGTCGGATCTTTATGTCAAAAACATCAAATAATTTAAACATAAAATGAGTCTACTTACAACCGCTGCCGTGCCGTGCCATGATAGCGCTATCGTGTTTTTTCTTGTTTAAATTTTCCATGTCCCGTGTTGTATTTCATGTTTAAATTATTTGATGTTTTTGACATAAAGCTCTGACGATGTTGCAGTGCAACGAAACATGTCAGCTTTGAACAACATTAGTTGAAATAAGACACAATTTTGGACTACTGACGGAGGTAAGCCTACAAAGTCATTATTCGTAGTCCAGGGGCTATCAGAATAAATAATAATAAGCTTTAGAGACATGATGTTTCTAGATTCAAAGGTAAAGTAGTAAAACATAGCCTTAGTACACTTACCCCAATTTTAATGACTACTAAATAGTGGAAATAGTTAAAATCCTGACTCAATATAATCAATCAAGGCCACACTAAAAAAAAAAAAAAACAGGCCGTAATGCTCGTCTAGCATGACGTCACGATAGAAGACGGCAATGACGTATTTTTGCCTTTTGTGATCAGCTGCTTGTTTTAATCTTTTAATAGAAAACAACAATATAACCTTAATTACGTCATTGCCGTCTTCTATCGTAACGTCATGATTGACTAGCATTACCGCCTGTTTTTTTAGTGTGGCCTTGAATCAATCCCAGCTGAGAAGATTGAAATTACCTTATCAAAAGCTTAAGAACTCAAGAAAATGCCAAACGTTAACTTATAAAAAACACTGTTCTTCTAATAAATTTCATTGTATAACCCATTAAGCAGGCTTACATACACACAAATAAATATAAGATACAACAGAAACAGATAGTAAAATTTGTACATATTGCTATCACTGTCGACAACTTTCTGGTGAACATTAGATCTGAAGGCATCTATTTTTCCTAATTCAAACCTGAAATTCCTATCAGTGATAGTGAAATTTAAATATACAATTTTTTCTGTTCCTATAGGGTTAGGTTTTGTGCTTTCTCAGACAGGATGGATGACCCTTTCCCTTTCAGTTAAACCTGCCATCTGAACATGATCATTTTAAAATAGGTTTAGTCATTAACTTCATTTTTCAATAAATTAATTTTAAAATGTAAACCAAAACATATAATTTGTTTCAGGTTTCACTCAGTTTCTGGCGAGAGATGTGCAGGACACTTTCACCCAGCTGTTGGACAACGGACTGCGGATGTTGCTACAACTCATCACCAGCTGGAAGAATGCTCTCGGCCCAGCCAAGGACAGGACCAAGGAGCAGGAGCCTAGCAGGGCGACCATCACACCACGCAGGCCGGACTTTGCCTTGGTATGTCAGGGGTGCATCATGTGACCACAGTTAAGATGCTGACTAGTATTTTTTTTTCAGAATATTTTACTGTAGAAAAATGAAAGGACTTTTGAATTAGAGAATTCAAAAACGTCTATTACACCCTTGTAAAAATCTTTCTAATGTAAGTTGTATATTATTTAAGAGCACTAAAATTTACTCAGTAATCATGTTCAAAATTTTTTAAGGTGTTTCTAATTTTTTATAGTAACTTTTGACTAGGTATCTTTTTAAGTTATGCATGAAGCAATTACATTTACAAAAAGATCAGTGAGTCTAGCGATTCCATCACCTCCAACCCACATTAACTTTGAAACAACAGCCTACAGGTGATCAGCTAATATTAAGTTAAAAAAAGTGGTTGGGAACTCAGGAAACCTTCTCCTCAAATTGCCTACATTTTGTAGAACATGGTGAGACTAGTCCACAAAGTGTCAGCAAATTATAATGGATGAAAACAAATAAAGAGCACTTGCATATTAGTGGTTTCTTTCCAACTGAAGATGTGCTCAGATTCAAGATTGTGAAACAAAAGATTTGTTTACTTTCCAATCATGGAAAAGGGCTGCCATAATCTTTAGGTTTTCTCACCTCCTAGTTTGTCATAAACTTAGAACCAAGAATGATCTAATCATATTGTATCTGTTGTCAGAGGGAGCAGTCGGCTTGCAGTGTGTTTCACCAGGTGGAAGGGTTTGCTCTGGTCATGTTGTGTCACAACAGACTGTGTCCACGCAGACTGGCCGTGCACATACTGAGAGAGGTGAAGACACTCATCAAAGCTTTTGGTAAGTCTCAGGTACATTGTGCTTGAGAAAAGTATACAAGAGTTGTGGCATCAGTTCAAATTATATGATACTAGTACTCATTGTTTCGTAAGTAATCAATCTTGCCGTATACAGTCAAGTTTGGAGTTGTTAAGAGTTTTTGTGAATTGACATCCTGCAATTGTGAGATTTCAGTTGGTTTTCAATTTTCAGTTAAGGCTAGGGTCAACCATAGCCAGGACATAACAGCGGGTATGCCAATTACAATTCTCTAAAATACAATTCTGTGAAATGAATCAGTTGGTTGATGTTAAGATCTTCAACATTCATAAAGAATCATGTGCTTTAAGTTTCAGCTACTTAGTTGAGGAAGGCAGTGATGTTGTTTATTCGGTTCCTGGTACCTGCCACTACTTTTTATAAGAACAGTTCACTTGTACTGTAGCGGATCGCTCCTTGCTTGGCCAAATGTAAGGTAAAAGAGACCGCCAACCTCTAAAAGCATTCAACGGCCTGCAAAAAAACAAAAAACTATTGAATGAGATGCTAAGTCGAGTTGAAAAGAACGTGAAAATGTTAGTGTAAGCAACAAAAGTAATCGCAAAGCCCTTTATTTCTATTGTATGTGTGCAGGCGCTATGGAGGACGACCAGCCTGTGATTGATGTGATAGACCGTTGCTGTCCCCAAGTGGTAGAGTCTTGTCTACCATTGCTGCCACCAGCTGAGAAGGCAGCCGTGTTGTCAGTGTCTACTGTGGATCTGCAGTGGATCGCAGACAGAACGTCTTCTGTATGGACTGGAGGTAATCGTCACATTTGCTTGTGTCTGGTTTGGAAAATGTCACAGTTTTTCAGTTATTCTTGATCATACTAAAATTAATTATTTAGGAGGTAATTTAGGGCTCTGTGATAGGTCCTTTTTGTGTAGTATTTTTATGTGTATGACCATGATTGTGAATAGCATTCATGTCAAATACTAATACTAGTATAGTTAAATACACGAGAGCACGCCCCGTGGTCGAAAAATCGACCAAAAGTATGTTTTGTACAAACTTCTCTATTTTCACCCCACACGGTTAAATAAAACATGTGATTGGAATGTCTTTCCATTTGTTTTGATTTTCTGTTTATATTTTGTTGTTATTTCGTCATCACCATAGCAACCCATAAAACCCATGTTAATTTTTTTTAATTTCAAATTCATTTTTTGTGCTTATTTTTGTGTCTATTTTAGTTTATAAAGGGATTCTGCACACCTACAGGAAAATAGCTTTCTAACGGTATGCGTAGATTTTCCGTACGATACACACGAGCTGAGAAAAAAGGTTTTAAAGAAACATGCTTGCCTATTAATATATAGATAGATACTGGCTCTGAAGTCAATGTAACTTCAACATTTCAACAGGTTTCATCTTTTTGAACGGACAGATATTTTTAAAAAGGTTGACAAGAGTGTGTAAATATTAGTGTAAAGACGTAGCAAAGTTTTGATTCTGTTAATTTAGCAAAACCAATAAGTGTTTGTCAACAAAAGTTACCCGTCATAGAAAGTATCATATACTCCTTCATAGGTCTTGACTTCTTTCAGTATCTATACTAGAAAAGTAGACGAGTAGAAATAGGATTCACTAGTAATATGAGTGTGCTAATCGGATCACATATATTTTATCAAGTACTGTGCAACCTTGGCAATACCAGTAACACAGCGCTGTTACAGGTCTAGCAGACGAGAACAGTTCCAAGTCCTCAGGTAGCAGTTTGGCCAGTGTGGCCAGTGACCCGTGGGCCATCTGTCTGTTTGGGTTCCTAGAGCGAGGTCGAGTACTGAATCTCTGTCCGGCCGCAGTGTCTCACTCGTGGCCGACCGTGTACTCGAGGCTGCACTCACTGTTCACTGTCATCGACCCAACGTAAGTATTGGCGTTCCGCAAGGCTCGGTGTTGGAATCAATACAAAGTAACAGACAATACTAAAACTGGTAGTACTGGTAAAGTTACCAGTTTTATTAAAGTTCAGTTAAATTAAAGTATGTACAGTACCTTATAATCTCTTTTTTTGTTAATGCACTGTATAGCTCAAAATGAAAAGAATTACAATAAAAAATTATTTAATAATATTGGTAAAGTTAGTGAAAAAGCCTTGTGGGTCTTTCTTACATTTAATCTGAGATGTACTATAACATTAAGAACTTTATCTGTAATTTTGCTCAGTGTTATGTACTTAGCCCACTCTAGTTAAGTTCAGTATGTTTGCTTTTATTGGGATGGAATTTTCCCCGACATCTACCAATCGCTTCTGATACCAGCCAATCGCACCTCATTTAAACCAATCGCGCACGACTCAGTCGATCACTTTTGACATAATTTGACCACAACCCTGTCGCACTAGGCATCTTAGTTAAGCAAGAACATGTCTATAATATAAACATAGAGTGTATGAGAAGATTGCTTTATTACTACATACAGGGTGAGTTTTAATTGTCCCCCCCCCAACTTTTTTCTACATTTTTTCAAATATCAATCTCAGACCACTTCCAAACATTGTTGGGTAGTAAGTACTTCATTTTGACAAGGTGGTCATTTCCGGCCGCCATCTTGGATCCGCCATATTGGATGCAAAATTTTTTTTTCAAATGTAAAGGTGGGGTTGTGACCTATTATTTCGAACTAGATTTTTACCCTGATTACAATGCCGCAAACTGTTTTTAAAAATCTTGATTCATTCTAAAGTTATGAGGGTTTTTTAAAACTTTATTTTTAGCCCATTTTAACATTGTGTATTTACAAACTAAGACCATAATCTCAAAATAGTGCCAGATAAAGATAAGTATACACTACCAGTAATTGTCGACCTATTTTCACTTGGTTATGACTGATGTATTTTTTTCGGCCGCCATCTTGGATCCGCCATTTTGAAATGTGATAAATTATTTTAAATATGAAGGGGGTATTGTGACCCATAATTTCTAACTACTTTTTTAAGCTTAACATAATTCCAAGATCCGTTTTTCATTTTCATTTTTTGATTTTTAAATATTGACATTTTTAACAAAAAAATTTCAATATTTCATAAATAAAACTTGATAACAAAAAATGGATTGCGGCATTGAGTTTAGCTTAAAAAAGTAGTTAGAAATGATGGGTCACAACACCCCCTTCATATTTAAAATAATTTATCACATTTCAAAATGGCGGATCCAAGATGGCGGCCGAAAAAAATACATCAGTCATAACCAAGTGAAAATAGGTCGACAATTACTGGTAGTGTATACTTATCTTTATCTGGCACTATTTTGAGATTATGGTCTTAGTTTGTAAATACACAATGTTAAAATGGGCTAAAAATAAAGTTTTAAAAAACCCTCATAACTTTAGAATGAATCAAGATTTTTAAAAACAGTTTGCGGCATTGTAATCAGGGTAAAAATCTAGTTTGAAATAATAGGTCACAACCCCACCTTTACATTTGAAAAAAAATTTTGCATCCAATATGGCGGATCCAAGATGGCGGCCGGAAATGACCACCTTGTCAAAATGAAGTACTTACTACCCAACAATGTTTGGAAGTGGTCTGGGATTGATATTTGAAAAAATGTAGAAAAAAGTTGGGGGGGGGACAATTAAAACTCACCCTGTACATAACTTACTGACTAAATTTAGCCAACAAAGACATTTTGTTTTGATCCTCAACAATGTGCCTTCAAGGATCAAATTATTTTGTTGTATCCACTTTTATCACTTGGCCACTAACTTTATGCATATTTACCATTATTTTTCTCATGTCACACAGGCCTGTAAGTGACAACAGAGCGTCTCTTCTGCGTAGTTCTGCGCCGCCTCGTAAGCCCATTACTGAGAGAGACATGCACCTGGTGGTTTGGCGCAACTACGTGACGTTTGCCATGAGAGTGGTGCCTCCGGCGCCGAGTCCCATCATCCGGTGCGCTTCTCCGGACCTCAGCCTCAGGTATGTGCTGGCGTGATTTGGGAAACTTATTTATAATGCTTTGAAATGTCAAACAGTTTTGGACATCTATGATGTCCGTTAGTTTGTCTGTGGGGACAGACCATGGACGGTAAACCATGTGTGTTAAAATATCATATGTTGTTTTTGCTGATTCTCAAGCCTATACAACATGGGATAGTGAGATAATACCACGTGGGATAATATTTGACCATTGTCATGAACCCTCTGCTGAAGGTTTTCATATGTCAAATTTCAGATTGGGAAGGACAAGATTCTAATGAAGGCTAGGTGCTGTTAATGGTATTTTGGCAAAGTTAATCATTTACAGATACATCTGTCCTGGATAAGGACTATTTTTTCAAGGGTGCACACCAGACTTTTTTCCAAGGAGATGATGAGGAACCAAGGTGTATGTATAAAATGGAAAACTTTGGACTCGCTACTCAATGATATATTGTAAAAAAAATTGTTGTAACTCTAACTCAGGCTTAAGCTACTTCTGTACTACTGGAAATATTTGAGTGATCTATGATGAACAAGATCCAACATTTTATTAATTTTTGTGGAATACTTTATGTATTTTGTTTTAAGTTGGGTCTGGTTGCTTCAGTTTTGTTTGTTAAGTGTATTTTTCGCTTGTTAACTTCACCGCTTTGCTTATCCCCCAAGCTTCATCTATGAAATCTCCATTTCAGGTTTTAAAGATTTGTTTTAGTTTATGGATTTGTCTTTCACGTTTTGTGCAGCTTTTGTTTGGAATTTCACTGATGTTATTTCTTCATTTATCATATATTTGGTAGGTATAGGTTATTTATGCTAGTTTTTCATAATTGATCTTCAGTTTGAATTTGTTTGAGACCTTTATTTGGTATTTACTTCATCCAAGACATCGATTTACAAATTTAATTTTTCTCTTATGTTAAAATATTGGTTTTTGTATCACAGAATTTCTTAACTGTTTTATTTAGGGAAATAGCAACAGCATCAATCCTCAAAGGAGCAAATCCTTTGAATATTCACAAAACTATTTCTCAGGGTATAAATTGGCTGTGTTTTAATTGCTTACTCAGGTTTTTGTTGTGGTGGGTCTGGAAGTTCGTATTGTCAGCTTTTCTGAATTCTCCTATCCATCAGTCAGTTGTTTAGTGTACTAACCAAGTTTCCTCGGATAGTTTGCCCTCAGGTCGTATATCATCAAGTCTCTCGGACGACGAATCGTTTTCTGATACACTTTCCATTAACTGTGTCCCCACCCCTCCACCTAAACGACACAAGCGAAGCAGGTAAGATATCAGGTTATTTGAGTTTTGTACAGGTTTGTAACGAAACATCATTTAGTTTTAAAATTTCATGCCGGTAGGTAGGCCAGTAAAGAACAGTTGATTGATGGATTTTGTCCAGGACTTGCAAGTAGACATAATAATGATGATAGGCATATTTTTTGTATATAAAAATCCAATGCTTCACTAATACGTAAGAGTTTAAATTGACGTGGTTTAGGAAATAAGAGTACAGGGGCTAAGAGATACACAATAAGAACACAAAATTTAGGACAGATATTTTTCCCTAATAGAGGACTTCTTCAGAAACTAGGTTAAAGAGGAATGACAGCTTAAGTTCAAAATTGGAGTGATCTTCGCAGGTGTATCGTGTGTACATGTTTGATTGTATGTGTACCTGAACGATCTGTGGACAAATATAATACAAAAGTGAATAGAGTACACAAAATAAAAGAAGAAAATACATCAATCAAAATACTTCTTACTGTACACTTTTAAGAAGCTAAAAATTAATCACAGTTGACATTGAAGTTTTCATTATTCATTAATATACACTTAAAAAAGTGAGTAATTTTCTTGAACTACTGGTATTATGTGCATGATCCAAATAATTTATAGTGACTCATATATTAAATAATTTATAGTGACTCATATATACTCCTCTTTACCTTTATCATCTCCTTCTCTTCATTTTCCCCTCCTATTTCCCCACCATCCTTCACCCCCTATTCCTCCTCTTATATCCTGCCCCGTTCCTTCTACTCTTGATACCTTGGTAGTTTCCAGTAGTTTTCACTTTGGTAACCCATTGTTCCTGTTACAGTTCATCTCCAGACAGTCTGACAGAACGCACAGACAGCAGGGCTGCCAACCCTTCGCCCAGTGGTTTGTACAAGCTGGTGGTACCACTGCTGAGATGTGAGGTGGCCGATGTCAGAGACGCTGCCGTGCACGCCCTCGGCAAAGTCAACTCTGACGCACTCAAGTAATATTTTATATTTTGCGTGTTGGTGGTCTAGTGGTTAGCTGCTCAGACTCAGACTGTGTGGGAGGGGGGGGGGGGGTTGATTGACGGTGTATCCATACTTCAAACAAAGTCTGAGGCAAAGATAGTGAAAAAAAAAATTAAATACAGAAATAAGTATTAAAAATCAGTTTTTTAGCCTTTAGACCCTGTTTATGAGGAAAAAGGCTTCTTTAACCTCAACTGTAGTATATTTCATTAACTAATGCTAACTTGTACTGTTGTCAAGGCTCGCAACACATTAGCAGTTTTTATTTGATATTTTTGACATGTTGCTAACTTTAACAATGTAGTGCTTACAACAAAACCAGTCAGCGTTTTGTTGATGTAAAAGACCACAGTTGGAGGTAAGGAAGAATTAAAAAAAGAGTTGATAGTTGCTAGTCTTGTGGTTAGCTTCTCAGTTGTGCAGGAGATATGGGGTCAATATACATGGACATAGACATTATCTTTCATATTCTTTCTCTCTTATGGGTCCATGGCATACAGACAAACATATTAGGAGTTTAAGATGCTTTCTCTATAACCATTTGTGTAACTCTAAACAAAATCCCTGAAGTAGGCAGTAGACAGTAATTAAATAATAGGCATTCCTGTTGCAGACTAAAATTCCTAGTTGCTCTCGAGTGTTTATTAAAACCATGTGGAACACAAAACACTTTTTTGAATGATTTTCAAAGTCTCATATGAGTACTAATAAATTTGCCTAATTCTACGAATTTATATCCGTAAAACAAGCAATCTATCATGGTAGACATTGGTCACCAAAAAGACCTGCTTAGCAAAAATGAAATATTTTACTTGAGAAGTAACACTCAGAATCACACAAATGAAAAAAAATCGTGATGAAAAAGCACATCAAAAGCAGATAGGCTAGTAACCTTGAGCACTGTTCCCAGTCTCCCATTTTAAATTTAATACTGGCTTTAGAATCTCAACTCCGAACAGAAGTATCAACCAAAAGAAATACATAAACACTATTTATTATCTAATTTATTAATATCAAATTTTTTTACCATTCTGTATCCTTCATTTTGTGCAGAGATCTGATGGAAGAGCTGGTGGTGTATATAAGAGAGGCAGTGGACAGGAAGCAGGAGAATATGAGGCGCAGACGACGAAGAGACGCTCTCAGACTACAGCTGGTGAAAGTGTTTGAGCTCATCGCCGGCTACGGCACGTTTGGTATCAGGTAGGTCTGGGTGGTGTTTGCACTATAGATATGCTAAGTTTGTGGTATTTGGTCAGTCCTTGTGGTAAAGGAAGTGTAGTGCCTAACCTAACCTAACCTAACTCAGCAAAAGTGGCTAGCCACCATTGGGAAAAAAAGGTCTGTAGGTCAGGTTAATGGGCTCAAATGAAATCTGTGTGGGTTGGAATCGAGTAAGTACCAAAGTCAGGTATTATTTTTGCCTAATAAAGCTAGGTGGTAATCATCGAGTTGAGTAGTGAGATTTTACAATATTTTGGATATTTTTACTTAACGTTGCTTTTTGATAACCTTTGTACAACCACATTTTAAATCTGTGTTTTAAGAGTAAGTATTTTATTTTAAGTAAGGAGTATGTACCAACCTTTTCATTTTATACTCAATAAAACAATTTATTAATACAGTACAGTACTACTATCTCACTTGTCACAAAATTTTCACAGACAACGGATGTCTGATTGAATTAATGAATAATGAATTTGGTTTTGAAAAAAATCCTGGGTAAACATACTAAAAGATAGGTCCTTAAAACATTCCACAGTTATTATTGAGAATATTTGAGAAATGAAAACGTTGCTTGCAGTATATTGTTATTGATATCAGATAAGGAATCAGAGTATAGGGATTTACAAACTAACTATACTCATCTGTGATCAAACATTGGATTAACAAATACAATGTATGTAATCAATATAATCGTGAATATTGCATTAGTTCTCCTGGCAAAACAATGATTGTTGTGATGTTGGCAGCTCTTGTGTGTTGGAGCGAGACTCGCAATCGCTCCACCCGACCATCGTGGAGTATGTAGACGGAGCAAGACTCTGTCTGGAGGCGGAACCGGACAAAGAAGCTCTCAAAGACATCAAGCTTCACTTCTGCAATTTCATCCGGAAAATGCTCAAGAGCTTTCAATGTGAGTAATAATTTGAAATGTGTTTTCAGTATTTTTTAACACTACTCCAATGAAAGATAATAGTAATCCCAAGGGGTTCCAGCTGCGTCATTTACATAGTTGGTAGTGAACCTACAAAGCAGTTATATTTTTAGGTAACGTGCAGATTTTGAGGAATTACAGTTCAGTTTTATATTGTGTATCTGAAACCAATTTGGAACCATTTTTAATCATCCTAAAATCACTGACCTTAATGGGGTACATTATGATGTTTTGCAAGTTAGCTCTTAGAATACAAAAACTCTGCAAAGAATATCTAGAAATACTGCCGTATGGTACTACAAACATTTTTGTTGGAATTTGTTCAAGATTCAAGAGGCACATTGTCCAAACATTACTTCATGTTTCAGTGGAGACCTACCCGACACTACTGAAGCGAGACTTGCGTCGCAACTTGTTCATCCTCTTCGCAGGATGGAGCGGCAGCTTTGGCCGGTCGTTGGCCTCCGCACTGACAGGGACGGGGGCTCTGCCAGCCCCACCAGCACCACCCCTCCCTGAGGTACCTGATGATGAGGAACCGCAGTTCTGTGCTCTGCAAGCCATGAGTGCCGTGCTGTGCTGCGGTCCGTGCTTTGAACCTTCAGCTCTGGCAGAGGATGGGTGTTTATACCCGTGGTTGGACTCTCTGCTCGCTTCTACTGATGATAAGGTGAGTTACATTTGGTCAATGTAAGGGGTTTCTATTGTGACCTTGTCCATCACCGTGGACTACTGATCTGAGTGGTGATCCAAGACAGTGAAGTATTGTTGCGACATTAGTCACATGGGCATTCAGTGGTCACTGCAGTCGTACGTTAGTCAAAGAGGCTGATATCTAAGGCTAAAAAAATAATCGCATTGGAAGTGTTTTTTCTTCAGACTCGACCGTCTGAGCGGGTTTGACAGAATCTGAGGAAAACAAACACATGCAGCACCATCTCCCCTTCTTCTACGCTGGGCATTTTGTTTGGATATGCAGGGAATGTATTCTGTCCCTTCCGTGCTAAAGTATGAGATGCAAATAAGCCAGCTGAATTCTATTCCTTAAAAAAAAACTCTGTTTATTAAATGAGTTCTAGTCCCCAGACTGGTCCTATGATTATACAAGTTCTTTAATAATGCTACTAGAATGCTTAAAGCAAGAAGGATGTTGCAAGAGAGAATGTTGTGTTGAAAAAAGGTTGTTGTTGTTGGAATGTGTGTGTGTTTTAAGAAGAATGTTGCTTTAATGATGCTACAAGATGAAATAAAAGATCATAAATTTAAAACCTACCTGAAGTTACAAAATAAATACATCCGTGCAATCAGCTGTTTTAAAAATGAAGGATACATTACCAAAATAATGTTTAAATTTGAGTTTACAGTGAATAACAGAAACTCATATTTTTGTATGCAGAATAAAATTAGCTAAATCGTTGCATCGAGAATCTCAATGAAAATGTGTTTTATTTGCAGTATTTGAATTAAAGCTCAAGAGTTAAGTATATTGGAAAAACTCTAAACACCCTCACAGTAAAAAAGGCAGCAATCTTACTTAATATGTTGTGTCTCAATCAATATAACCGATATTGTGATATTGTCAGACTGGCTTTGTGATATCAGCTGCAATTGCTGTGTAATCCTGCCTGAGATATTGCCATCATGTTGGCAACACTGTGATTAGGTAGGATTTGACACGTAACCGTAGTCGCCACTGATTATTGTTTGTCTCTACTTGGTGTCTATCAATATTTGTATTTAATTAATATTTGGTAATATGAAATAAGGAAGTAGAAAACAATTTAGTTTGCAAATTGTAAAATGTTGGACAGTGATTTTTGGTTGGTAAAAAAAGTTTCTTGGATTAAGTTTTAATTGTAAAATAATTTAAATTTATGTTCACTTTCACACCATGCAAAAAATGGATTTTTAATAAGGTTTAAGACAGAACTACGTTCCCACTTGAGACTTTTTAATGGGAGGAGTTCTTTTTCTTCTCTTCTATCAACGTTTCTCACAGTACTTTTTCATCTGGTCAGACCATAGTTTTCTATCTTAATCTGAAGTCATTCTTACTGTCCTTTGTTTATTTTACTTTGATTTGTAGAGTTTTGTTTTTGTATTTTAGTGCTTTAAGTTTTAATTCTTGGTCTTCAAATCATCAATTGCAATTATTAGTTCCCTCTTGTCTTCAAAAATTACAACCATTATTACAAACAATTGTATAATAGCTATAAACAAGTAAATTCTATTGACTCAACAAATATTTTATGTAAAATATTGGCAATATTGTTGAATAGGATCATTTTAGAGAATTTCCCATATAGGGAATAAGCTATTACCGTAGTACTCATGGTAAGACCTGGACGCGGGACCGATTTTTTTTTCGTTTTGAGGTCCCTAGAGGCCAAAAACACCATCCGTTCAAATTCATATATATATATATATATTTATATATATATACACGGCCGCGCCCGGGAAGCCAGTCACATAAAATATACACTGGAAGTCAGTCAGTTGCACCCCCCAATATATTTCAAGACTATGATATATATATAATATATGTTGGTAAATATCTTAAGCCTAGACATATCTGAACGTATATATCTCTTTTTTTCTTAAAAATACTAAAATATAATTACGTAAAAAATGCTATGCTAATGCAGTCACCACCGCATTTGCATGGGAAAGCCAGTCACGTAAAATTTGTGCTGCTAAGCCAGTCACTATATATTTTACCGCATACCACTGGAATCCAGTCACTGAAAATCCACCCGGGTGTCCCGTCACTTCAGTCACTTTCACTCCTGCCCTTCTACTTTGTGATATTTATTTGTTCTACAAGCTTGAAAATCCGCACCTCAAACAAATGGATTATGCTTCAGGCATTGAGCACTCTCATAACCCATCTTTCGCACTTCATTTTAATTAGTTGTCTTCCAGATTACTTAACAATTACTATTCTACAGATTAAATACCTAAATGTCAATGTAATCTTTGGTCGTCTTAATAGTCGTCCTGGCAACTGTGGATACAAATATGTACCGTACTAATTCGCAAGCGTAAGGTGGGAAGTTATTGCTTTATAGTCGCACAATTAGGCCTATTGTTGAGTCCTTGGAGGCAAGCGGCCATCTTGGATGATTTCAAAAAGCTGCAAAATTTATCGTCCAAAAATATTTTTCAAACACCAAAGTGTTTATAATTTAAATAGCTAGTATACTGTGGGATTAGAAATGTTCTTTGTAGTTTTGAATTATTCTCCAAGGGAGTCCATAAAATAAGTTAACGGTCACGGTCATCTTGGAAAAAGGCCAACTTATACGAAAACAATATCCTGTGTTGCGCGGGCCGTAGCACACAAATAGTTTTCCCGCCTCAAACAATCAAAGGCGTGTGGAACAAGGCAAAATTCTTGTCTCTTTTGTGGTGAGAGGTAGGGGCGAGCCTGACGGGTTCCATTGATGGGCTACCCGACTACCGACCGACCTGGGGTAGCGACTAGCGAGCCAGTGGATGGTTAAAGGTTCTGCCGGTTATTTCCATCTTATTGCTGGTTCTCGAGCTTTTGAGCTCGTTGTACAGTGAAATATTACTTCCCTATTTTATATAGCCACAATCAAAGCGATTTTTACAAGAAAGAATGAAGATATAGACTCAGTGATGTGTGGTTACTTAATTAAATCATGTTCCTTGATTGTTTACCCTTTTGTAAGAGCCAATAATCAATCAACTTATATTTCTTTATTTTTCGATTTATTATCTATATCAATTCAAGAGGTAGCCCTGTACCTGGTTAACAAATATACCGATTACATTTAACGTGTTTTCTTTGAGTTACGCCCCATGGGATTCCAAAGTTTCACAATGTTTACATTTTTGAAGAATGTAGATAACAGAATGTTTAACGAAGTCAGCTTTAAATGCTGTCAATAAAGTTCTTTGATTTTGCGGTCCAAAAGGTAGAAACTATTCGAATTGTGAAACTTTTAATTTTTGCTACGAGCCTGTTAATTGGAGATTGTGACTTTCTTAATTTAAGGAAGTAAACGTATTAACATGACGTGTTTGGAGTGGGATTTGAAATATGTGACGTGTATCAAACTTTTTCTCTTCAAAATCCTCTCCGATGTAAAACACAGGTACGGCAGCTAGGTTTATTAGAATTCAAAAGTTTTTTAATTGTCCTCCAATGTTTAGAAATTATTTTTCGATCAAGTTGTTTAATGAATAAATAATTGTTTTGCCAAATTATGTTTCGAAAACAGGAACTAAAAATAGATCAGGAAATAGATATTTTAGTTCAGAAAACAAAGCCAATCAAATAGGCCTACGTACTTTTTAAATAAAAACACTGGTCAGATGGTTTTTAACTTTGCTTTTTATTTACTTCAAAAAATTTCTAATAAAAATCACCACAGGTACTAATCTATATAAATAAAATTAGAGTTTTGTCTGTACATTGCTCAGAATCATCAACTTTTAGATTATTTTTACGTTTTAAACATTCAAGAATCCGAAAAAAGTTTCATCTCAATTCCGTAATTATCTCAATCATCAATTATTATCTCAATTCCGTTGTTGTCTATCTTCCGTCTGTCACGGTCCAAAGGCCATTTTACGCGGCCTTCTCCTGAAAACGAGAGTACCTATCAAGATCCTCGAATCATTTTAATGTATTCACTGGATTGGCGAAAGTGTCTTTAGCTATTAAAATATGGCCTCGCTACTTTGTAAAAAAAACTTACGGACGTTTAAAACCCAATTTTGTGCGATTTTTGTCAAGTTTTCTCACAATGTTTATCACATAATCATCATATGAAATAGCGAACAGCTGTTCGGATCAAGATTATTTTTCTCTAGCTGTCACTGATATGTTTACATTGAATATTGTTTACAAATACCGCAATCATTTCAGATCAAGTTTCAAAAGCAAATCCAAACCAAGTTGGATTAAAACCGTTTTTCCTTACATAACGGATTTGATTAATCGCAAGTGCAATAATGTGTAGGGTAACCGTAAATGAAAATAGAGCTTCTTTGTGTATAGAATTTCTATCGAGTTTTGGGTTTATAACCGGGGAAAAGATTTTGACTCAGTGTTCTATATGCCTGGGAAACTTACATTTTTTACATAAGCGTTACCAATAGCTTACATATAAGGTTTCAACTCGTTGACGGCACTTCAATGGTGGTTGTGTAAAGTGTTTAGAGACAACTGCAGTAGGTGATTGTAACAGAGGTTTACGGATTATGCTCAAATCGTATTTCTAATGTGTCTTCTCAACGCTATGTGCTGCTCGCTGGACCATACGTCCAACAGACCAATTATCCATCTCTTGGGTTCGTAGGCTTAAACAATTATTCATAAGTTGGTAGCACATATAACTCAGTGTTCCGTACGGACAGGCCAAGAGCACCTTTGATAGTGAAATTTCCAACCTGAATGTTTAATGGCGAGGTTGAGGTATAGTATTTTAACTATATATTGTTTGGTTAGTTAGGTAAGGTTAACCTAACCCAACTAACCAAACGATATATGGAATTAAACAATCGAATAATCAATATTACTAATTTAGTTGTTTGTGCCAACAGATATGGAAGTGTACCCCTCATAGATCTATTACGCATTTCTTTTTACTTGAAACTGTCAGATACTGTATTTGTTTGTATATAATAGTTTGGCTAGCA